GGAAAGCACACTGGTGTGGCAGTATAAGCACGTTCATGCTACCTGTACCTCTCCGGCCCAACTTGCACAGTACTTAAGCAAGCACACTAACTTTAAGGACATGAGTCACCCACATGCCTAAAAATAGCATTTAAAGTACTTACAGGCTTTGCAGAAGCACAGCTTTAATAAACAACTTTACACATGCCAACCTGCTGAGCCAGTGTTTTTTCATGACTACTAAGGGAACCCTAATACAGAGTGACACTGACACTGATAAAGTCACAACCTCAAGCTTCCATATTCAGTTTCACAGAACACATCCCTAAACAGTAGCATTTTTGGAGACAATAGATTAAGCGGTCTCTGCATAAAAAATAAAACAAGCAATGAATATTTCAAATTATTTGCTTACTATATTCAGGTCAAATACTGGAATTCCTAACTGTGCAAGCCAAAATTTGCTCTCTTTAAAGATAAAATCTATTGCACTATAGGACCAAGTTCAGAAAAATATCCTACCACTGATAGGTGGGTGAAGGCATTTGGACTTCATGTTTCCTGGGTCCTGATGCACAAGAAAAAAAAACTCCTTAGCAATGCTCCGTGAGCTGTTGTATATATTCTATACTATAGGGCTGTACATTCTCTACTAACATTTTACATTTGGCAGCCTGAGAAAAATAACCGTGGTGGATAGCTGTAATAACACTAAGAGATTTATTTTACCCCTAGCAGACAAGAAACCCTAGTCTTAACATTGCATTTCAATTTTTACCATCACCTCCAGTTTCAGTGACTTTTCCCTTCAAGGGGACAAAATTGTATGAACAGAAGACAAAAACCTCACATCTCCGATAAAACAGTAGAACTAAATCTTCTCTAGTTGTTTGGGTTTTTTTTTTCTTCCCCTACTTGAAGATGATAACATTCTGGAGCTTGGATTTAAAACAAAAAACAAAAAAATCCGAATACTTAATGTCTGTTAAAAACAGGGAAGCGTAACACAGTCAAAAATAAATCATTCACTCATTCCCACACTGGAACATGCTGTACTGTTAATAGCAGCAGTACAAATGAGAACGGATGACAGAGAAAATAAGGTACTCTGACATGTCAGAAAATGACAGTCAGCGTATAGGGAAATAAGAGTAATGTAAGGTAATTATAACCTGCTTCTGCCACTGTAACCGAAACTTTGTGGACAATGCCTAGGCGGCCTACAAACTGCAGTGAGAAAGGGAAGATACAGATGTAGCCAAAGCAGTATCTATCACAAAGGGAATATGAAACACAGGGAAAAGGAGGAAACGCTCTTAAATCCTGTCCTTCGACAGGATTGAAGGTATTACCTTTACAGTGCTGGAGATGCCTGTTTATTATCCTTCCCTTTGAAAAAGCTGAAGGAAGGCTGTCGGTTTTTATTTTGAACACATCCATAAGATATAGTTGGGCTCTCATCTTTAGCCTTCTCTCCCATATGCATGCTGGTTTGAACAGTCAGGATATGGCTATGGGACTACCTATGTATACTGGTGCATAAATAGCCACGATGATAGTGTCCTGAAGTGACCATGAAGAAGGTGGCAGCACCAGACAGCAGAGCTGGGAAACACTCTGACTACTTTCTTACAGTACTTACTTGACAAATATTCTGGATTGCTCACCCAGACTTATGCTAAGTAAAGCAAATTAAATTCCTAAATGACACCTTCTAATCACTACTGTGCTTACACAGTAGGAAGAGCAGAGGTAAAGCATTTCTTTTAGCATTTTTTAAAGTGCAGGCCACTACTCTATCTTCTAGTAAGCTTGTTCCCGTTAGTGTGTCAGACACCCTTTGCAAAATAGCAAAGCACTGGTCCGCCTGCTGTATGGGCAGAGGAATGCCTTGTTTCCAAATCTTAGTTCGCCGCTTTAGTTAGCTGCTAAGGGGTCAAGTCCTTCCAAAGACAGTGACAATTCTAAGGATGTACATATGCAGTTACAGTCATGTGGGGAGCTTTGCAAGTGAAATAAAAATCTCTATGGTCCTTTGGTCTTTACTATTAAGCAGCTGAGATTTTTTCAGGATGGCAACTGTGGATCTCGGCACCCAGGTTCTACATAAATCCCCTTAAGTACTAACGTTCTTTTCTAGATCTGGGTATCACATTCTTAGGTTCAACCCTCAAAGTAGTCACTGAAAAAATGCCCGTAACAGGCAGGTTTCACATTAACTCTTTTAAAACAGGATAATGAGGAACATCAGAAAAAAAACAGTTGTCAGACAGAGACATTTCCTTCATTCAGGTATTATACCCCTTTAAAAAGTTATTAACCTACACCAGCAGGCACAACAGCTACACTACAATACTTAAACTGATGGTGGCATAACAAGCATAACAAGTTTATAGTTTGTGAAAACAACCTTAACACAAATAGCTGTGATTTCAATTTTTAAATAAATGAAGTACTTTTTTTTTTTTTTAACACAGAAGCAACCTCTGAAGTATTCCTATTCCAAAGATTGCTTTCTCTGGGTGAAAAAAAATTTTAAAAGGTCAAGCTGACTTACTATACACTAAGTAGAAAGAAATATAAACATTTCAGAATTTCAAAATAAATCAGAAGTTTAAAGCCCCTGAACATTGTAATCTCAGTACTCGCAAACCTTCAAATCATTGGGCACCTGATCACTAATTCTTTACAGTATAAGCTGGTGAGCCATTTAAGCACATTCCATTTCTAATTATATAATGTTAGAGACTTCAGAGATGTAACTCAGTAACTAGAAGTTGTCACTTTTCACCTAAATATGTGTAGTATGCCTATATTCTTTAAGTGACAAATACTATTTTAAAAAGTGAATTGGTTTCAGACTGATCACTTCTGAAGCAACTGAGATCAGAACTAGAAGCACTAATTATACATTCTATGTTGAGGTTCAGCTCCCATTCTCCACCAGAAAGAATAATTATACAATTAGGCATTCCTGATAAGCTCTCCTCTAATCTTAGAAATGAAAATGTAAGAGCATCCAGATTTTTTTTTTAGTCTTACTACACACGGATCATTGTGATTCAGCAAACTAAGTATCATTTTCAGAAATAACTTCTTAGCTCCAGATGCCAAACGTATGATGGCATATCATCTTCACTGATTTCACTGAAATACACTTTAGGATTTTTGCCACTGGTATATATGAAAAGGTTGATTCAACTTTAGCAGGAACATGTTACATATATACAAAGCCATCATTCCAGCTTTACTGACATGGAGAAACCCAAAACAGTGCTGAAATAACTGTATGCAAATCTTGTGTTTGAATCTCATTGTTACAACTTTTGTCTAAACAATCCTATCTGTGGCAGTATTTAAAATTATTATTTACTACTACATGCACTGATCAGTCTCAGAGGTTTTTTGCACAACGTGGAGTTCAAACTTTTTTCTCTGAAGTAGTTGCAAGCCAGAAAAAGACATTTGTTAATGTGACATGCTTAACACTGTACAAGCTGGCAGAAAAATCAGTGAAATTTCAAAAAAGCAGCTCTAAGTAGTATGCAGTTTACTTCTCCAAACATCTTTTTTAATACTTATTTTTACAATTGTCGTAAGTGTCATACATAATACATTAAAGCAAACATTCAGAAAAAAATGCAAAAGCATGTGTGTGGCCAATAGGCATATGTAAATGCTAGTTGCATGAAAACTGACAGAACCAAACACAAATGACAGCTCTGAGTTGGTATCCACAAATAACATTACTTGTATGAGCCATTCCATTCCATTTGACCCTGACATCATGGTTTATAAACTGCTATTTTATAGATGGGCAACAGCTCATATGTTTTTTCTCAATGTTGGACCTGTTTTGATTTAGATAAATCAACATTCCAGAAATGTATACGGACAGCTTCCATTCCATTCCCATCTGTCCTTCCCAGCCTGCTTCAAAAACACCAAATTATCCATATACACAAAAGCAAGACTAGTTAAACCAAATTAAAGAAGATTTGACTATAAAAGCAGATTTTGGTATGTGCTTGAGTGGAAAAAAAAACACCTCACAACTGTACATTTATTTAACAATTGTGTAAATCAAAAACAGTAAGTGGCTTGCTTAAAGCGCTCTACAGCTAAGACTTTATAGACTAAGATTATCGCTAAATGAATACCCAAGAAACCCCCAAAAGCTCACAATGCTAACACTAACAACCTTACGGACCAAGGTGCTAGTAGGCACTGTTATACCATATTACTCATTAATTATTGAGAGAGTCAGACTCTGGTCTTACTTACAGTTAATGTAAATTTACACTGATGTAACTGAGAGCAGAATCCATCTCCTGGTGTACACCATCCTCAAATGATATAAAGGAGTTGCAAAGACAGAAGCTCCCTTTTGTATAAATATGTCATAAATAAAATATGTATAGATAAAAATATTCATTACAACAGCAGCTTAACGGTCTAGTATTTCAGTTCTTGCTTCTATAATACTTGCTAAAAAACACATCTTGAGTAGAGTAAATTTTAACAGTGCTGCATTAGCTACTTGTAATGCTACACACTCCAGAAACAATTTATGCACATTTTAGAGCCTTTAGTAGATCTTTAGAAGTGAAAGTAGGTAGAAATTTTTGATGCAAAAAAGAATAAATAAATAAAAATTATTAAATATCCAATGTTTGGTACAAATGCTTCATATTATAAGTTATTTTTATACATTTGTTTAGAAAAATACACTAAATATTTCTACTTTCATTGGCTAAAAATAAGGACCAGATTATATATATCCTTATGTTTTTAAAGAAGGCAATGTCACTTACCGTCAAGCTGCTAGAGTAGACCCATTAGTGCCCATTCTCACAGCCCTTACACCAGTAAAAAAAAACATTGTAGGGCTAATAACAGCTCCTGGTGCATGACATGGTACAAATGACCAAAAGGCCCATGGCACAAGTTGCATTTTCTCAAATAAAAACCAAAACCATAACATTTTTGCTAAGTTTATAACCTGCAGGTTTACTAATGTATCAGTTAGACCTTCACACTTTTTAAAAAAGAGCTATATTTACAAATGTGGATGCTTGTCTGTTAAGCCATCATTTGTTCCAAAAAATGCACATTCAAACTGTGAAATATTAGGAAAATACTCTTGCAAATAAACTATATAAAGATAAAATACACTTCAAAGATAGTTTTTATGTTATTCTATAAAGTGCAGAGAAATCCTTCTAAAAAGGGAAATGACTACTTTCTATAACAACAATATAATTACAGCAGCCTTTGCATAGCATTATTTATAGAAAATTAAATACTTTTAGTTTCTTCAAGAAGAAAAGGATGAAAGAGTCTCTTCCAGTTCTGATCTTTCCTTTGATACTGATCTATTTTCTTCAGGAATGGTTGATGATACCAGGTCTCCATTGACAGCACTTCTAGAACAGTGAGCAGATCCTATGAAGATATCAATAAGTATTTAATTTTAAACCCCAGAAAACCTCACCCAATCTGGCAGTTATTCTATTTGCCGACTATTTCCTATACATGAGCAACCAGCAGCATAATTACTCTGGACTCTTCCTGAAATACCATGCTCAAGGATGATAGATATGAGGAACGTTCAGCTAGTATAAATCAAGCAATTTAAAATTTTTTTTTTTTAACACAGTGATTTTTACATTATAAAGGACAGTAATCTGTGAGATGTAGACGTATTCTGTATGAGGAACACATGAACATTTTTTAAAGAACTGATGCATCGATAAGCATTTAATTAAAACATTTTCTATCATTAAAATGAAATGGATGACTTACTGCAAGCTCAGTATTGCTAGGCTACCTGACAGGAAAGAGAAAGAACTAAGATAACTGGAAGGTAGCAGAGGGAAATTCTACCACAGTAAAAGAAAAACAGAGAAACTGAGCTAGAAATTAAAGCTACATAGTAAGGAACCAAAAAAGCCTGATATTAGCAGAAACACAGAAGACAAAGACTCTTCTCAGCCATCCTGAAAACAGTCAGGCTGGGTAACCATCACCAGAAGGTTCAGATGGTAACAACAAAAGCCTTGTGTTACAGGAAGCCAAACTTATGTGCACCACTGTAGTGATGAGACATAGAATAGGATCTAAACTGAGTTTATTAGCTTGGGATACATGCTGGAATACCCTATGCTGGTAGCAGACAAGTGAGGTGAAAAAGTGGTCACCCTGCAACATGTGAGCATCAGAGAACCAAGGAAATGGTGCGGGGGTGCAAATACTTGCTTCATGGTAGAATGTAAAGCATTAATACCTCTTTGGGCTTACGTGAGCATTCAGCAATGCACAGGCCTCAAGTTTTTCAATCAAAGCGAGGCACTAGACACTCCAAAAGGAAGCAAGACTAAACCAGAACTAGTCAAGAAGAACTAGTCAAGTAAAAGTCTCCCTGAGAGGAGTTAGAATGGAGTCAAAATGACATCAAGATTCAAAAGTAAAAGCCACAGAAGAACTGGCTACTAACTCAGTAGGCCTGTTTTATCAGGAGGGAATAATATTCTGATCATGACACAATTCCATCATTTTTGGGTTGCTTTTATTTATTATTGGCAAGGCTGCACTCTCTTCAGAACAGCGCTGTTCTCTACAAAAGGCAAGCAGCCACTGAAATGAACCATCTTTCCACAATGCACTGGGTGGAAATTACCTCCCACCACTCACAGGGGTGACAGAAAGGAAAATTTGTTTTGTGACAACAAGCAGGTGGCAAACAACAGTATTCCACACCACTTACATGTAAAATTCTATTAGTACAAACATCCCTTTTCTGGTTATGCCTGTATTTTACCTTGCCAGTAGTCTCACTGATTTCAATACAATGCCAGCTGTAAGATCCTTTTCAATACGAATGAAAGCCAGCAAAAGTCAGACGCGTAACAAACTACACAAGTGCTTTGATTTAATATAGGAATATTACAACCAAAACTTTGTGTTACTATGAAAACTTCCTTCCTCATGCCGATATCAGCACTAGAACAGCTGTTGTAAACAGGCTAATAACTTGCACAGAAAGATACAGAAGAAAAACATCCCCCTTCCAAACTTACTCTGAGAATCCTCAAAGGCAGTATCACTGTGAGATTCTGTATCCGAGTATGTTCGTCTGCGTCGCTGTGAAAATCGGTGAAGGGATGAAATAGGTTCTTTTGCAGAGTGATTACTCCTACAGAAGAAATGAGATCTATTAGTAAGCAAAATCTGTAACAACCCACACAAACAATATACTTAAATTTAAAATTATTTTGGTGCTTACATTGAACTGTTAGTATCAATGTTTTTCACTATAGTAAACTAAAAATGGCACAGTACACCGAACATTCTTAATTTTCACAATTATAAAGCCTGAAAATGGAAATAAAAATCTAATATAGTCTTTGCATGCAGAAGGAAATAATTTGAGAATCTGAAATACTGACCCAAAAAGAATGTCTGAGTTTCAAGCCCTATGTACAATTTCACGAACTTGTCAGAATAAGTCATTTGCATAAAGTTTCTAGCATCAAGACATTTTTATAGTGTATTAGAGACAGCAGCTGCATTATTTGCCACCGACACTGATAATCTGCACCCTTAATTTATGCTGTTTAATTTTTTTCCCCCAGGTGAACAGTTCTTTGCACATTTTGATTTTAATGCTAGCAGGTTCAAGGAGGTTTTTTCAGACATAAGAAAAGAGCTTAACGAAATAGAAAATTACCTTTCCGAATAGCAAGGACCAGGGTGACTAATGGAACGCTTCATCTAGGAAAACGATGAAACAAAACAAACGAAAAAAAAAAAAAACCCACACCAAAAATGTCACTAGCTACTCATAAGAATAATATGCATATCTACATTAATTTTTACTTTATTTACAATCTCTACAAAGAGGGAGGGCAATCTTTTTTTTTTTAATTAAAAAATTTAAAAGCAACCATTCTTAGTTAAAAATCTGATGGCTCGCCATCAATGCTAAAAGTTTTAAAGCATTCACGCAGGAAATAGTTTACTACAAAAAATACTACTTGTTTCTATAGAATACATTCTCTCTTGTTCCAAAATTACTCAGAGCCATTTGTTAATTGCTATGATGTACAGAAATATCAAGACGTTTTTCCTCTACCAAATGCCAGCTTAAATTCCTCATTACACAATAAAGCCAAATCCTGCCTCTTGATTCCTTGTGGTTCTTCTGATATCACTGTCAAATCTGTATGCATATCAAATAAAGTTATTAATTTAAATCAGGAATTATCAGCTTTGTAAGTAAATTGATTGAAGATAAAGAGACAAGAGATCCAAGTGCAAAGAAAGGGATTCCCACAACAAAACCCCACAATACAGCTCATCTTGGAATCTATACATAGGATGGAGAAGACATTTAAGAGGATTCCACATACAATGTCCTTCTACAGGAAATAATAAGTACCAAAGAGTTATGCAAGTAGTATCTTTACCATTATTTACCTTTTTGTTAAATAAGGGCATGTTAGATTAATACAAACATTTTGAATTATATACACTGAAAGATATGCTATCTTGCTGAAGTACTTCAAGCCACAAGGCACTTATCTGTTTCAACAGGAGGCAAGGTTATGAAATTTAAGATCAGTGTATAGCTAGCATTCTAAAAACCAAAGAAACAGCTGAACTGAGGAAAAGTTAAACCTCATTCATTTATGAGATACCTCATTACAGGGTCTTGACCTGTACGATAAATTACGCTGATTATGTAAAGGCTAGCAAACAAAGACTGGGAATGGAAAATTATTGATTTATATTTAGGACCAGTACTGAGCATCACAGAGTCAAGATGTCAACCGTTGACATCACAGCACATAGCCATAGCGTAATCTTTTGCCATCCTTCCCCCCATCCAACCAACAATACGACACTTATTAAAAATAGTATTTAAAAAGGTCTAAACCATTTGGACAGGTGATGGTGACACAGGAGAAACTAAGGGATCAGAGTGAGGCAGCTGGAACATTTCTGGCTTAAACTTGGCATTAGCGATCTTCACACATTCTTCAAGTGTGGTGATAAAGGTATTACATGTGGCACTAAGCAAGGAAGAGGCTTCATTCATGTTCTGAAAATAAATGAAAGCACAAACATAAGCAAAAAAAACCCAAACAAACCAAACCTGAAAAGATGCAAATACAACTCCCCCACCACCACTCCCACACACTAATCTCCCTCCTTACCACTAAGAACTTCCATTTCCCATTTTATTTAATCAAATGTACACTTTCCAATTAGGCTGATTTAAGCAAAACAGCGTGACAGCACTGTAATTTCCTTCTGATACCCTAAAGAAATTCAGGTATCAGCCAACAATGCTGCGTTTTTACTGCAAAGCTTGTCTCAGAGTGACTAACTGGTATCAGAAGATCATTCAGTGAAACAAATGAATTGCAGAAGAATGTGTGAACGGCTTTACTGCTCCAGTGCAAGGAGCCTGCAGGTCAGCTTCACCTTGCTGTAAACTGACAACAATTTGCGGTGTCGTGACTAAGCATCAACCACTTGCTTTGCCCTAAGTGGACAACAGTATTGTCCACGTGCTGCTCAAGTGCATAAAGAATGAAACCATTCATAATTTCCAGTACTAACTTTCACCAAAAAGCAGAAATACTAGAATAATTTTACTTGTGCTTATTCTGAGAGACTTGTCTACACTGCAAGTTTCCAATACCCGTAACGCTAGCTTTCACTGATAACAACATGGAATACCCTCCCACACAAAGAAGTAAAGAATGGACAAACAACATGGTTTCAACTATTCTGCCCATCACAGAGATGCGAAACAAGACAAATTACTGCATAATTCATACGGCAGCTCTTCTGGCCTTTTAACCAAATGACGCAGTAACACAATTGCTTCGCAATGCATGTTACAATTACAGTTAAATCACCAGGTATTTTATGCATATATAATCACTATTAGCATTACATACACACAAGCACTCAAAAATTCACCTTAGGTTAAATCTCCCAACATTAGGGAGATGACAAAGGCATTAAGATGTCAACAGAAACTTGTGTGTTACATAATGAGGTTCTCAACAGCATTCTAGAAATTCTGTACCTCAATGCTGGGAGGAGAGCGAGTCTCATCACGGTGAACAAATTCCTGTATTGTATGAACTTGCTGCATTAAAAGATCACAGTAGAGACGAAGTTCGGACATTTTGGTTTTAAGAGATTCACTGGTCTCACTTATTTCTATTAAAAAATAAAGGAAATACCAATTTGTTGCATACGATGTATGCACACATCTTCATTTTTAAGCACTTTTCATTTAAATTTAAATATCTAATTTAAGAACTTTCACTTAATTTTGAGGAAAATTGGATTCTGGAATGAGTCAAGAACTGTATTTGAAGCAGACAATAGTTTGTACTTTTGGATAACTGATGCTAATTTAATGATCATTAAGAAAGAGCCACATTACTAGAAAAGATAAATTTGAAATCTTTCTTAGCTGCAATGTAATACAGAAAAGATTTAGTGGATTAAATTTATGCCCACAAGAGTGGCTGGAAATGGTTACATTAAGCCATCCGAGAAAAATTATGGGAAAAACAATACTAACTATAAAGAATCAATACAGCAGAAATTAAATGGCTTCACAACAGCTACAAACAGCGTTTGTTCTTGTAACAACAATAAGTTGCTGGTATTTCAGCTTCTTAAGATAGAAGAGCTCAATGGAGGTGACCTCCAATTCAAACACCAAGGGGGAATTTACCATATAGATGACTAGAAATAATTACGACTTCTATTTAAAGACAATAATACTGACTTTCTACCACAATATTTGCACTATCATTACCTGAAAACAAGCATTTGAAAAAGTGGTAAGATTGTATATGCTCTAGGTAACATGCATACCTTTTTCTTTTTTTGTTCTGGTATCTGCTAAACAGGCTTTTGCACTCCCCAGTGCTACCAGCCACCTTTGCCTTTCGGCTGCATTAACTGCTTTCATATAGAAATGCTGCTCCCCTGGGATGATTAGCTCCATTCTTGTGCTGTCTGTTGCATGAACTTATGATAGAGGAGGGGAAAAAAACAATTTTGAAAAAAAAAAACCAACCTCAGCTCAGTAATGGTTATTTATTAAATACCGATCAAAGTATTTTAAAATGTTCATTACAAACCCATAGTAATACAGTAAGTCACAATGTACCACTGCCAAATAACAAAAAACCCAAAGCTGCTCAACCCTTCTCCCCAGAATGCCTTCAAGTCAACAGGTATGAGGAACATGAGACACCACACAGTGGCCAGACTGAAGTACAATGGGGTTCCCTTCCTGCATTAACAATACACCGTGTATGGATCTGTAATAACTGCAGTATTCCAAACCTGGTCTAAACATGGCAAACTGAACAGTTTTGCAGAAAGGACAAGTATTTAGAGAGGATTAGGCTACAAACTGAAATAATCTCCCTTCTAGGTGAAATCTGGCTTCAGGCCGCGGAGTCCTAGAACCAAGAACTGAGGTGGACTTTGTTTACAGTCCATTATATTCAATACTACATCTTTAAACAAACGCAGCACAGTATTCAGTATCAACCACAGTTCCTCCAGACCCACTCTTCACTAGCCATGGATGCAGGAGAATGCACCAAATCCAGATTTCAACTATTACTTTCACCAAAAGAACAAGATGACAAGTAACATGAACATCTGGAATGTCCAAAAAATTGTATCTTCTACTTTGCATCACTGATTTCATCTACATCAAGGAAACAGTAACAAAAAGGAGTTGCCACATGAAAAATACTTGGTGGCCCATGTAAAATAAGTCCCACTTTTTAATATACGAATACCCGTATCACAAGCCCAGTCATCTGTGGATATCTGGGAAGAGATTAAGAGTTGAAAGCGATGGAGAGTTAAACAATGCCTTGCTATTTGCCAACGAGGTAAACCTACAACTTAGGATACACTAAAGGCTAAACTCACACTCTGACACAAAAAGTTCACTTACCAACTCTCACACATCTATCACCTATGCACATGAAGAGCTGCAAACAGTGACAAAATGACTCAGGAAAACAAAAGACTAAACATCTTTGGTTTATGATAATCTCCCTTTTGGGTCACTGCTGCTGCTCTTCTGAAAAAATAGCATTTATGAATCAGTCTCTTACCTGTGGTCAAAAAAGGGATAAGCAGTAGAACTAACAAACTAGCCAAGGTAACTTCAAGCGTAAGCCACATGCACACAACTATTTAAAACAAAACGGAATATATCATGGGTTCTAAATCTCAAAACAGAGCTCTGTCAAAAACATTATTCTTTGTCGCCACTTCATCATTCACATCCATTTGTGAACTATAAAAGCGGTCACACTGGACTATAGATAAACAAAAATAAAGGAGAAAAAGCTTACAATGCAAAATGTATGTTGGGTGATCTTTTCTACTTCCCTGGCAGCTAAAGTTTCCTCAAGCAGAAATCTGTTAACTCTTACCTTTTATTTCACACACAGCCATCTTTATACTTCCTTTGCTGCCTTTGCAAACATCATCCTGTGAATCATAGTATGACAATATCCCATTGTCTAAAACAAACCACCGGGGCTGCCAACCTAGTGAGATCAAAATTGTGAAAAGGAAAGTTTAGTGTAATTACTAAATTGCAAATCAAATTCAGCTCTTTGGCTGTTAAAACTTTTATAAAAACCGCAAACACTAAGCTATTCATGTAACACACCAGGAAGTAAACAATCTGCGTAATTTGAAGACCAGAGCCACTCTATAACCAAACCAGTATCATATGGATATTTCACTCCCATTCTTTCTGGACGTAGTATCAGCAGTATTTCAGTTTTCACTCTATTTCATTCTAGAGCAAAATTAAATTTTTATTTAGCCACCAAGGAATCCTATTTTGAAGGCTGAATTACATACCTCTGAAGAAACACTCTCATTCAAGTACATTTTTGAGGTAGACTTCCCTAAGATTGTAGGATCTTATTTCTAAGTCAACAAGTAAGTTACTAATGTCACAAACTGCTATGCAATGGTCTCCTCTGCCTACTGTATGTCAGTGAAAACTTGTATATTCCACACGTAACTCGGACACACCATTTTCTCTGGAAGTAGCCCAGCTCCATCACTCAATAACAATTTAATGTCAGGCACTATGCAGGCAACTGAGACCTACCTTATACTCCTAGGTTTCTTTGTGAGGACAGCATATACCAGATCCTCCACTAAGGTTCTCACCAGCTTTGCATTAGCAAAATTATATGATGATCTCTGACTTTACTACATCTACAAAACAGAGCACTTTATGCACAGATGCAAGTATCTGCAAGAATTCTATGCAGCTTTATACCACATAGTAAATTATTGTCATGGGCCCTCTTGATTTAAAGTATATTAGCATTCCTTCCCTGCCCCCTGCCCCGCTTTTTTTTTTCCCCTCTTTCCTTTTTTAACAGCTATTTCATAAAACTCAACACTCATTGGAATAGGTGCCCTAATGTCTAATATTACTAAATGCAAACCATTTTGCCTAGTAAATCACCTTTGTTTCTAAAAATAACATAGAACTAAAATATTCCAGTAGAGCACAACAATTATGCTGGCCCATTACAGTCTGGGTCAGCTGTACAATAGGAGCAGATTATCCCTCTATTTAACAACTCGACATCAAACTTTAACTTCCTGCTTGGCGTAGGGTTTGGAACAGCAACAACTGTGTGGCCAGGAACTCCAAGTATTTCGCGATATGGTGGTGCGGTCCACCGTGCTTACCCATTGCCATTCCAACAGAGCAAGCTGCAACCATCCAGCAGCACTCTATTATAACACAGGAGGCTTAATCAAGTATCAGACTCTTGAAAATCAGCTAAAGGCTTCAGAATACCCACATTAAGTCATTACAAGTTTTAACACTAACTCACTAAGTGAAAGACCAGGCCCCTCATGTCACAATTCCATGATAAGGAAATGATAACATGTAACTATTTTTAAAATTTATTAGCTATAATGGTAAGCATCTGTGTCTTTCAAAATGCAGAGCAGTAACTAATAAGCACATCCACACTCGAATATAAAAACAGAATGAAAAAAAAGTACAAACATTGAGGGATACCAACTCCCACAGGAAATACTTCAAAATTATGTACACATGTACGTCACCACTTATTCTCAAAGAATATGCGACCAGTCATGAAATGATTGTACTGAACGCCCTGCCCTGTAAAACGCAGCTTACAAATGCACCGATGATGTTTTTCCTGATACACTGTGTTGCAAAACATTGACTCTGTGCTGTCCTTATCTCTTAAGTGCATGCCCAGCTGGTAAGTCAGTGCACGCCCATCTCAGCGGTCTGATTCTGATAAAAAGAGACCCTACATGGATGATTATTCCAGCCTCAAATTATGCTGGTATTGGAAAAAAGAGAAGCAAAGGATTTAAAAGACTCCAAGTGCCTCACAGAAGCAAGCTCTTCTGAAATTGGGCAGTGTCCTATGTTTAACAAAATACCTCACAAATTCGTACTTCACAAATTCTTAGTTGCACACGTATTATTTAAGGGCGGGGGGGGGAAGCTGTATTTCTGGTTTGCTTTCAGTGAAGGAGGAAACTTAAATGTTTTCCACAATGCTTCAGCAACAACAAGCTCCTTTGCTGCTTGGCTTCTACCATTAACGGCAACAAGTACTACAGCCTATTTCTGGCTACAACAATAGACAGTAGAGTAACAAGAAAGTTGGTAACAACATTAAAAAGTTTCACTAATTAATAATTAGATTTATTTTTTTTAATTTGCTGTTCCTCCTATACTCCAGATATTGTAGGGAATTCCTGTCACACTGTAATTTTGAGATACAAGTGCAGATGCTCTCAGCTGGCCAGCACACACAGAAGGAAGGGTTTTGCAGTTTGCTATTTTGGAGAGCTACTGACTTTTAGCAGAAGTTAGCTGCATATTGATATAACAGTCTATTGTGTGTACAGCATCCACAGTTACTGTTGAATATTTACTTATTAAATAGCTTCCCATTTGAAGTTTGTTAATATCAAACACTACAAGGGCTCATTACCTGTGACCTTTTACTATGTTAACGGTTTTGGTTACATAAGTGAAAGTGACAATTCCCATTCTATTTTGAAAAGAAACTTGTACTCATTATTTCTTTCATAACCACAATTTTTCCTCTGTTTTCTCCACATTTTTTGTGAGGAAGTGACAAAGGTATCTTATCAAATATCTGAAAAATACGAATTATGCTCTGTACGCTTGAATTCACAACAAATGCACGTAATCCTTGCAACACGGCCCACGTTTTATAAATCCTCAGAACTGAGTTTTTATAAACTCAACTCTACATTCAAAATCAACGCAACTCTACATTCAAAATCAGGATATACTGAAGAACAAGAGGGCAAAGAGTGTAAGCCAAAGCAGTCAAACATGAGGCCTGATTAAACATAGTATATGATCCAACACTGATCTGCTCTGGAGGAGCAATTAGTCCTATCACAGTGTCAGAAGAGAAATCTGTTTCACGTTGACAGCACCACCTATGCATTGCTATCTCCAGAGGGGGATGGGATCTCTATTATAACAGAGGATGAGGCAAACAAACCCAGACCTCGGATAGCAAATGCAGGTATTTGATGCGTTTCCGTCTGCAGCACTTCTAAAAATGTATTTTGTGAACACTTCACCCAGAACTACAGGTTTTTATATGTTTTACAGGCTAGGATACAGGAGCACAGACTCAAAAAAAATTACCATCCAAAAGAGAATTCAGACTTTTACATTTGGCACCGAAGAGTTAAAGATGTAACCTTAAATGATTCCTCAGCCACAAGCAAGTATACCATGCAAGTTTGTGTGCGGCAAATTAAAGCTATTATTGAGAGGAAACAGAGGTGGAGGGGAAAAATCCGACAGCTGGCCCGTTAGAAAAAGACACTTCAGCCGGCGCTTCCCGCAGCCTGCCCTGTTAAGAGTCCCTGACTAACTTGGCAAGGTGCAATCCTGGTCCCGAGAGGTCCTTGTCCTGGGGACAGCAGGAGACCTCGCGGGCCGGACACATCTCGGCTGTCGGGGACGCGCTGTTGCGCACGCCGCAGAGCTGCGAGGGAAGGGCGAAGGGGCTCGGCCCGGCGGAGAGGCCTGCCGCCACCCCACGCCACACACACGGAAGCGCTCGGGCAGCGCGGGCGACC